CCATACATAGCCCTACATAGTCCTACATAGCCATACATAGCCCTACATAGTCCTACACAGCCCTACACAGCCCTAGGTAGCCATACATAGCCAAACATAGACCTACATAGCCCTACACAGCTCTACACAGCCCTGTGTAGCCATACACAGCCATACATAGCCATACACAGCCATACACAGCCCTACATAGCCATACATAGCCCTACATAGCCATATATAGCCCTACATAGCCATATATAGCCCTACATAGCCATACGTAGCCATACATAGCCCTACTTAGCCCTACATAGCCCTACAAAGCCATACACAGCCAAACATAGCCCTACATAGACCTACATAGCCATACATAGCCACACACAGCCATACACAGCCGTACATAGCCCCACTTAGCCATATATAGCCCTACACAGCCCTACATAGCCCTACACAGCCGTACACAGCTCTGTGTAGCCATACATAGCCCTACATAGCCATACATAGCCCTACATAGCCCTACATAGCCATACACAGCCCTACATAGTCCTACATAGCCATACATAGCCATACACAGCCATACATAGCCATACGTATCCCTACATAGCCCTACATAGCCATACATAGCCATACACAGCCCTTCATAGCCATTTATAAAATAGCTAAGATAGTATGCGCGCCCTGATTGGGGGAGAGTAATGTTTTCATGAGAGTAGGTAAAGATCGTTGTGGCGCCAAGATGTTTCGCTTTTCGCGCAGTTATCATTCAGGCACGAATTTCAAAAAGTTTTGGAGTTCAAAACTCGACGAGTTTACTTTATTTACCCATTTCTTTGTCGGCTGAAACTTGGAAAATCCTTACCACGAAGGTGTGTCAATTTCTCTTTGCTTAAGCTGACATTTTAAGCGAGAAAAATCCATATTTTAGAAAGCATCTTTTTGGAAAGCGAAAACTGATTACACGTGCAACACTTTGTGGATAGGACTTTGCGACAGGTAAGAATTTATCTTTTAATCAGTGCCGTACAAAGAGTGTTGCGTTTTTTCTCGGGAAAGTTATTTTATAAAAGCTATGGAAAGCTTATTTCCTGTGTTTGCATAGCCTGATATAAACACTCGAGGCGTTGGGAGAATTCTCAACAGTTATACAAACCCGAGACAAATCGTCTCGGGTTTGAATAGCTGTCTCGAATTCTCCCAACCCCTCTCGTGTTTATATGGAACTATGCAAACAGAAAACGTTTTCTGTTGCTTAAATATAGCTGTACATAGACATACATAGCCATACATACGCCACTGTCTTGATTTTCAAAGCTGGCGCTTTTCGCTAATAGTGGGCTGTAACATATAGCTTAGTAGTAGCTCAACCAATCAGAATGCAGCATTGATAATAGACCACTAGTTGCATTTTTCAAATAGCCCTATAATCCCTTCACAACTCTACATAACCATACATATAGCTCTACATAGCGTTACATAGCTCTGCACAACCCTACATAATACTACGCAACCCTACATAGCTATACATAGCCCTAAAATAGCGCTACATAGCCGTACAGAACTCTACGCAATCCCACATAGCCCTGCATACTCGGATATAGGGCTACATAGTTTTAAAAAGCCCTGCGTTATCATAAGAGACTACATTACGAGGCTTGGACACCAAGAACACCAAAGTTAGAAAAATGACAAGAAACCCTCAGATTCAAAAAAATATATATTTTATTGGGATCATGGGCTATTATTTAACNTACATAGCGTTACATAGCTCTGCACAACCCTACATAATACTACGCAACCCTACATAGCTATACATAGCCCTAAAATAGCGCTACATAGCCGTACAGAACTCTACGCAATCCCACATAGCCCTGCATACTCGGATATAGGGCTACATAGTTTTAAAAAGCCCTGCGTTATCATAAGAGACTACATTACGAGGCTTGGACACCAAGAA